GTTTTTGTTTCAGTCATTTCTTAAAGAAGTAAATTGAACTAAGAGAAGAACAGATTACAAAAATCTTCTGAGCTGGTATTCTGTTTCAAGGACAAGAATTCAGTCAGTAGTGAATAAAAACAAAACCATTTGCCTCACCATTTTTGGGCACTGAAATAAGTTTCCTCCAACAGCTAGTACTTAGCCCTAAATGCATGCATAAATTGCCACACGAGCAATTAGGGTTGCATTAGCTTTCTGCAAATCTCAAAAGCTCAGCATTTAGCCCTCAGTTCCAACTTTTATTAAAAATGGAGCACTTCAATACATTTTTAGTGCCTGTGAACATCATGTGATTCAAAGTGTCAAGCATTTAAACAACAACTGCAAAACAACTAAGAACATTTTCTAAAGCAAATGTGAGTAGTGCTTGAACATGCTAATTCTGTGCATCGCAGTGCTAGGGTAGTTGCAAAGGTTTTGCTATTTTTGTATTTATTTTTAGTTTTTTACAGGTGTTTTGAGCGTTTCATTGCATTGCTTTGCGATCGCTAGGGTGTTCTGAGCGTTTCATTGCATTGCTTTGCGATCGCTATAGGGTGTTCTGAGCATTTCATTGCGTTGCTTTCCGAGTGATAGGGTGTTCTGAAAGTTTCATTCCGTTGCTTTGTGAGCATTTCATTGCATTACTTTGTGGTTTCTCAGGTGTTCTAAACGTTTCATTGCATTACTTTGTGGTTGCTCAGGTGTTCTAAACGTTTCATTGCGTTGCTTTGCGAGTGCTAGGGTGTTCTGAACATTTCATTGCGTTGCTTTGTGGTTGCTCAGGTGTTCTAAACATTTCATTGCGTTGCTTTGCGAGTGCTAAGGTGTTCTGACTGTTTCATTCCGTTGCTTTGCGATTGCTAGGGTGTTCTGAACGTTTCATTCCGTTCATTTGTGATTGCTAGGGTGTTCTGAGCATTTCATTCCATTCCTTTGCGATTGCTCAGGTGTTCTAAACGTTTCATTGCGTTGCTTTGCGAGTGCTAGGGTGTTCTGAACGTTTCATTCCGTTCATTTGTGATTGCTAGGGTGTTCTGAGCATTTCATTCCATTCCTTTGCGATTGCTCAGGTGTTCTAAACGTTTCATTCCGTAGCTTTGCGATTGCTCAGGTGTTCTAAACGTTTCATTCCGTTGCTTTGTGGTTGCTCGGGTGTTCTAAACGTTTCATTGCATTGCTTTGTGGTTACTCAGGTTTTCTAAACATTTCATTGCATTGCTTTGCGAGTGCTAGGGTGTCCTAAACGTTTCATTGCATTGCTTTGCGAGTGCTAGGGTGTTCTGAACATTTCATTGCGTTGCTTTGTGGTTGCTCTGTGGTTGCTCAGGTGTTCTAACTGTTTCATTCCGTTGCTTTGCGATTGCTAGGGTGTTCTGAGCATTTCATTCCGTTGCTTTGTGTTTACTCAGATTTTCTAAACGTTTCATTGCGTTGCTTTGCGAGTGCTAGGGTGTTCTAAACGTTTCATTGCATTGCTTTGCGAGTGCTAAGGTGTTCTGACTGTTTCATTCCGTTGCTTTGCGATTGCTCGGGTGTTCTGAGCATTTCATTCCGTTGCTTTGTGGTTACTCAGATTTTCTGAACGTTTCATTGCGTTGCTTTGCGAGTGCTAGGGTGTTCTAAACGTTTCATTGCATTGCTTTGCGAGTGCTAAGGTGTTCTGACTGTTTCATTCCGTTGCTTTGCGATTGCTAGGGTGTTCTGAGCATTTCATTCCGTTGCTTTGTGGTTACTCAGATTTTCTGAACGTTTCATTGCGTTGCTTTGCGAGTGCTAGGGTGTTCTAAACGTTTCATTGCATTGCTTTGCGAGTGCTAAGGTGTTCTGACTGTTTCATTCCGTTGCTTTGCGATTGCTAGGGTGTTCTGAGCATTTCATTCCGTTGCTTTGTGGTTACTCAGATTTTCTGAACGTTTCATTGCGTTGCTTTGCGAGTGCTAGGGTGTTCTAAACGTTTCAATGCGTTGCTTTGCGATTGCTAGGATATTCTGAACGTTTCATTCCATTGCTTTGCGATTGCTAGGATGTTCTAAACGTTTCATTGCGTTGCTTTGCGAGTGCTAGGGTGTTCTAAACGTTTCATTGCATTGCTTTGCAATTGCTAGGATGTTCTGAAAGTTTCATTCCGTTGCTTTGCGATTGCTAGGATGTTCTGAACATTTCATTACGTTGCTTTGCGATTGCTAGGATGTTCTAAACGTTTCATTGTGTTGCTTTGCGAGTGCTAGGGTGTTCTAAACATTTCATTGCGTTGCTTTGCGAGTGCTAGGGTGTTCTAAACGTTTCATTGCGTTGCTTTGTGATTGCTCAAGTGTTCTAAACATTTAATTCCGTTGCTTTGCGGTTGCTAGGGTTTTCTGAGCATTTTATTGTATTGCTTTGCGGTTGCTAGTGTGTTTTGAGCGTTTCATGCTTTGCTAGGGTGTTTAGGTGGGTGCTTATTAACCTAAATAAAAAAAATATCACCCTCAAGCCTCTGATATTTGATATAATATTTGGCCATCTGCAAGGCTAAAATTGTCCAAACACTCCAAAAAGTATTAGCACACCTCTCCCCAGCAAGTCTCACTATTTGAGGTATCATTAATGTTCACAGCACAAATGGTCGTGTTACTTTTCCTCACTATCTTATCTCAAATTGAATCTGTTATTCTAGATGACTGTTTGGCACCATATGCTTTAATACACTTTTCAAAGCAACTGCTTATTTTGTGTTAAACCCTTTTGTTTTCCCCCCGATATTTCTCATCAGAGTTCCCATCAGAGACACCTACGAAATAATGAGGGCCTTTGTTTGGGACAAGCCTCGCAGGATGTTTTGAAAAATCATTATAGAAAGGTAAATTAGAATTTCAAACTTGCTGACACAGCCCCCTGGTCGAGTCGTGATTTGAAGAGAGTAACAGGAAAATGTATACAGGAGGCTGAAGCATCTCTTGCACATAATTATGGTTAGGGCAAGCGGTTTCCTGATGTACTTGCGTCTGTTTTTATTCATTACCGATCTAAATGGGATAATCTGGTCTGCTTCTATTGCTGCAGAGCCGTCGCATTCACGATTCACGAACCTGCACTGCAACACTGAATTGAATTAATTTGCTTCCCCAACTGAGGTGGCAATTGGTTGAAAAGATCTGAGCAGAGAGCAAGCTTGGAAGTGTACATGAATTGATGTGTTTGTCGGAAGTAGGATGGAAGTGACAGGACAAGGGTGAGTGGGACTAAAATGTAGTGTGTGTACGTTAGCAAGCATGAAAGAGGAGAGAAGAGTTATGGAAGAGAGATCATAGAGAACGAATGCGAGTGTTTGAGGGAGAGAGAGAGGGAAGGGGGAGGTTTCCTAAGTGCTTGAGCATCAGTGACTGATAGAGGACAACATTGCAAGAGAGGTGTTGGGCATGCATCCGTCTCTAGTGTTATCCGAGCGTGCTCCAATGGTGTAGGAGATATGCTGCACGGTAAGGGGGCACAGTGGGAAAAGCCTGGCAACTCTGTGGAAGCTTTTTATAGACATACGGAGCAGCAATAAATCCAAACGACATAAATTCTGGACAAAGCCACAAAAGCCAAGAGAAGACAAGCTACTGAAATTCTGCTGTGGGTTAGCTGAACTGGATGTCCGGAACTCTCTTTGTCTCAGGGTGATATGGTTCTTCATAGCAGTATCTGTCAGGATTGCCTCTGAGAGAAGCAATTTTTGGCTCGTCCTCCCAGGTGTCACATCGGATGTGTTCTTTTTCTGCCAGCTCGATTGGCAATGTGACTTGTTCTTACTATTCTTAGTGCACTTTTTGGATATATATATTCTTCACAGCAAATACTGATGGCTCCTGCACTGAAGGCTTTCTCGTCAATGGAAAACACACTTTATGGTATACGTTTTTGAAAAAGTGGAGTTGCTACAGAGGATGCATATGTAGATGTGGAGAAACAGTACAAAGATTGACAGATGTCCCACATAAGGAAATAGACTGACTTTCGGTATGTCACAAACCTCTCAAAGTAGAAACTCAAAAGGGTGTTTTATTTATTTACTTGCTAGCTGTCTTAAGAACAAAGCTTCTTTCATGCCAAAAATGATACCATTTGATTTAATTTTAACATCATACGGAAAAGATCAAAGCTTTGCTGAGAACTGTTTGTTTCAGTGCTGAAACTTTTCCAATTTTCTTGATGCTCTATTTCTTTTTGAAAGTTTTCCTTTTGAATTTACTGAGAAATACTACATATTCCTGGACTGATTTAAAAGTTTCCTAACATCAGCAAAAAACTATGCTAAGATGTTTGGACCAGAGAATGGGCCTTTCATTCAGATAGGATCAAACAATACTGTGGTGGGCTTCAGACATGAAGACCAGTGTCCAGTCCCCTCCTGGCTGCCGCTGCTGCTGTCGTCCCTATGTGAAGGATGTTTCACGGCACAGTGCTAGGACCATTTGAACCGAGCCAGAGCCCTGACCGGAGAGCAGAGATCCGCAGGCACATTAAGATGGTCATGGAACAGCTGGAGGAAGTTCTTGCTGAGCTCAAGGACGTGGCAAAAGAGCTCCGGGAGGTAAAGCACACATTACATGCCCGCTTTGAAGGTTAAAGGAGTGCTTTGTTAAAAGGCACAGACTGATGGGGAGATTTAGTGAGTGAAAGATTGTAGGCTTTAACCCAAGGATGTCCAACCCTGCTCCTGGAGGGCCAACCTACCCCAAACACACTTGCCTAGAAGTTTCTAGTAATTCTTAAGACCTTGATATGCTGATTCAGGTGTTTGATTAGGATTGCCCATTGCTGCAGGATCGTGGTCCTCCAGGAGCAGGATTGGACATCCCTGTAAGATTTGTATTTTTTGCCTTTATTTAGAAAGCATAGTATTCGCTGACAGGAAGCAAAGTGGGAGAGAGGTGGGGACGGGATCAGAAAAAAAATCCAGAGGTAGGACTTGAACTTTGGTCACTCAAAGTGTAACTGCACAACATGTCGGAGCAATGCCCACAAGGCTATCGGCTCTGACAGGACAAACCATTGTGCCCCTAAACAAGGCACTGATCTCTACATTCTGCCAGGTAACACCTGAAATATATTCAAGTACGCAAGTGTTTCTAGCTATGCATGATTTCATACGTTGCATTCCGAAATTTCTTGAAAGCAATTCATAGCACAACACAAGTCTCCATTAGCATTCTCAAAGTTGCTGTATCATTGTAAAAATGACACCCAAAGTTACCGAAACACCCTGTTGGTAACTCTATCACCACCTTGTGTGCTGGAGTTTGTTACCGTCTCAGTAACCCAGGAATGATGGGACTGTGATATTGTGCTGGCAAGCATTCACGTTAATGTTTAAGCAATTAATTAATGCATGCTTTCATAGAGTTTGTTTCTGGCCTAAACTCAACTACTGACTGATTAGTTCCTAACTGTACAAAAACCAATAGACACAACCACAGTGGGCACGTTTCATAAACATACTCAAGGTCACAAACACATTCATGCCCCTGTGATACGTTCACCTAGGGGCTGTTGACTGGACAGATTGTCACCCAAACAGCAACCAACAGATAGATTAACAAGGAGAAAGACTTGCAGGATGACACCCCCATACAAGCAAGATGTCATCTGTGATGCCTAATTATCACCAGGCGAATCGGACATTGGGCTAGCATGCGCAGGAGCGGATTTGATTTCCTCATCTTCTCATCTGTCAGCGTCTCATCTCTTTCCCAGTTATCTCCCTTTGTGCTGGGCGACAGCTTTCAACATTATGTGAGAGGACATCTCCTTAATTAATCTCTTTCCTCAGGTGGATATCTATCTGCCTCATTACTGTCTATGAGTCTATGAGTGTCCCAGACTGGCATTTGTCTCATCATCTCAGTCACAGCTCCGCTGGATTTGTCTCATTCGTCTCCTTGGCCAAGTTCAGGCATCACCGGTAGCTCTGCCACTCTTGCCTGAGTTAACACCTCCATCTGTCACTCACACCTTGCAGCAGAGCCTTATTGTTACTACTGACATCTTGTTATGGTTATTAGTTTTGCCACACGCTCATCTGTCTTTCAGCTGTCTCTTATTCCACGGATAACAGCCAAGAATTTGTCACGATTCGGAATTCTTTACTGCCAAGTGTAACCAGTACACTGCTCACTTACAGAAACTTGCTTGATCTACACACAGAATTATGATGTCTTATGTTCTTTTTGCATTTGTGTAATTCAATAATTTGGCTAATTTGATCATGCTCTCAGCTAGCAATAAAAGTGTAGTACTTTCAGCTCTGTTTCATAAATGTAATCACGTTTAAACCAATTCCGTAGAATTCTACCAATTTCTCGCCAAAAACAGCACATGCACAGATCCCATATGGGCCTTCTTTATATTCTATTGTTTAAATGAAATATCAACAATTCATTGTTTTTAACTGGACTGACTTTTATTTTCATTATTTATATTACAATGGTGTAAACAACATTGATCGGGAAGGAAATGTTGATATTTTTGAAAATGTTAGTTGCTAAGCTACAAGCTTCCAATAAGTTGTCAAGCTACACGTTTGAAAAAAGTTTTTTTTAAGTAAGTTTTGTAGTGTTGCTTTTTCAAAAGTGCTTGAGTACTAAAGTAGCTTGCACACTACTTTAAAATCCATTTAAACAACTTAAGAGGTGGCTTTATTTTAAATTATGTGACTAGACAATTAGTAATCAACATTGTAATAATCAAAATGAGTAATTAGCATATAAACTCAACAATTTGTATAAAACATACATTCAAATTATGATTAAACTAAAAAACACTTATGTAACTGAATCATTATGAGAAGTTAAAAAATGCTACCGTCACACTAAAGAATATAGTGAGTAGAACTAAGTTAGAAGAACTGTATTTCATCAGAATGCATGGCTACTATTAAATGTAGAAAGACATTTCCCCCATGCATAGTTAACTAGCCAAACCTTGAGCTCTTTTGGTAAACAGCGTTTCTTGCTGCTAACAAAACCAAGGCAACATTAGCTTATATAACATATACCTTGAATGTAAGTTGTTGTACCATGTAAGTTGCTTTGGATTGAAACGATTGCCAAATGCATAAATACACATGATAAGAAGATAGATATGATAATGTATATGGAGATTATTTTCAGAGCAAATATATAGTGAAGGCAGTGATACATGATGAAAAATGTATGAGGTTAGAATCTGTTTTTGAATCTAATGGTTTCTATCAGATGTTTTGGAGTTTCCAGCCAGCCTCCAGGTAAAAATCAATCGCATAAGAAGCCCAGTGGTGGTGATGGGTCTGTTTCCTACTGCTTTCAAATCAGGCTTCCTCTAAAAATTTGTCAAATGCTTGTTCTGACTCGCACTCTGTTCTAAACACACTGTTTAAAAGCCTTCTGGGAAGTTTAGGCAATTATCTGACTCTAAGACCAGGGGTTCTGCAGGTAAGATGACTGTGAGTCAAATCAGATAAAAAAAGGGTATGGGTTGTAACTTTTATAATGGCATGGGATTTGTTGCACCAGCTACTTAAGTAGATTTAGATAGGGGATCCAAACAATCCTCCAAATTGACTTTTTGTCTTTTGTTTATGCTTTAATTGGTCCTTTATTATAAGTTCTGAAACATATAACTTGTATATCTTATGTATTTTATAAAACATCTGATATAAATTGTTATAGTTCAGAATAGGAATAGATCTTTTGAAAAATGTGTTTAAAAATTTAAAATTATGAACACTCATATGATGCCAATCATGACAGTGGTTAGTAAATGGTGTTTTATTTTACATGGAGAGGGTAGCCTCACGCTATTTTGAGATCACATGACCAACAAGTATTTGGATCACTTCATTTTTGTAACCCACCATAATTGGACTCTGTCACCCGTGGAAGTAAATTAATCATGGTTGACTGTGAATAATGCCTTAAAAACGCCATTAGAAACGGAAAACAATTTGCATTACTGCTTCATCCACACCACTAGGGTTCAGTTTAAAGTCCAAGACAGCCACCATATTAAACAAAAATATTGAGTGATTTTTAAAGGGGTATATACAGGGCCTAAAATTGACACTCGCAAAGTGCCAGATTTGAGTACATATCAGCATTGGAAAAAAAATAACTCTATGGTTTAACGTTTGAAATGTTTGAAAGCAAAGAAAAAAACATTCATATTAGTATGGTAATTGTACTGTTGTTATTTAAAATAATAATAATAATATAATTATTATTGTAAAATGTCAGTTTAATAGTATATTTCTTCATATTATTTGTTTAATATTTAATATTATATATGTGACCCTGGACCACAAAACCAATCTTAAGTCGCTTAGATATATTTGTAGAAATTGTATGGGTCAAAATTATTGATTTTTCTTTAATGCCAAAAATCATTAGGATATTAAGTAAAGATCATGTTCCATGAAGATATTTTGTAAATTTCCTTCTGTAAATATATTAAAACTTAATTTTTGATTAGTAATATGCATAGCTAAAAACGTAATTTGGACAACTTTAAAGGCGATCTTCTCAATATTTTGATTTTTTTTGCACCCTCAGATTCCAGATTTTCAAATAGTTGTATCTCGGCCAAATATTGTCCTATTGTCCTAACAAACCATACATCAACGGAAAGCTTATTTATTCAGCTTTCAGGTAATGTATAAATCTCAATTTCGAAAAATTGACCCTTATGACTGGTTTTGTGGTCCAGGGTCACATATTATTATAATATTTGTTATTTTTTTGTAATTTGATGAAGTAAATAAATAAATATTATTAATAATAAAAATTGCAATTAGATGTGTTATCGCAAGTTGTTCTGCCTGTTTTTTAATGAAATAATACACATACAGTTTCTATGCATTTGGCAGCTTTTATCCAAGTAAACTTTATGCATCATGCATACCGTCATTGGAATGAATTCCCTTGGTGTTGGGAAGGTTACTTTGGAAATGGAATCAGGTTACAGATTACAAGTTACCCTATTTAAAATGTAATCAGTAGTGTAACTATTTCAATTACTTTATTAAAGCAATATAACTGATTACATTTGATTACTTTTTGATTACTTTTCTAAATTTCTAAAGAATGTTTTCAACTGTTAATCATCTTCAACCATTTAAACCAGGCAGGGTTAACCGTTACAGCAGTACTCAACACTGATTACTGTCAGACTTTCAAAATCCTTCATCACTTGAATTAAGATTATAATAATTTAATTCAAAAGCACAGCCACCACAAAAAAGACCACCTCTTTTTACTTTGAGATCATTCAGATTTTTTTTTAATTTTTACATTTTTAGCAATGGGATTTTTATCACTCACCATGGTGGAAACTCTCAGACAGGTTGTAGCCTTAAGCCACTTGTTATGCAGTGCCTCCTACAACAATCCCAACACATGGGGATTTCTATAGGTCACCATTTCTGCTTTGCAAGGTGTGCAAGGCTCCACAAGTCAAACCACCCTTCACAAGGTAGCAATTGTTTCAGCTGGTCCCAATCGAGCAGCACTCTGATCTCCAATCAGTTAGTGTGTGGTTGGCAGGAATGCATTAAACATGAACTGCCTGACAGCAGCGCACAGGGCACAACTAATACCTTCTCCAGACAGGAGCCTTTCAGTGGAGTCCCAAAAATGTATTTCTCTGATAACGGCATGGCACTTATTGTACCTGGCAGGGCTCGATACAGTATAAATTCGCAAATACAGTACATAATGTTTGTACAGTCCTTGCTTGTATGCACTGCAAAAAGCTTGGCATTGTTTGCGTATTGTGTGGGCTTTCGAGCAGCAGGCTTGGTGTGAATGGATATTCTGGCTGTTGAATGCCTGTCATTTGGGCTCTTCCTGTTTACGTTTGACTGCTCACTACCGAACTCCAACAGCCAAAAGCCTGTGGCTCGCCGCTGAATAGCCGGTCTGCTATATCATGAACTCCACATCCTGCGATTGAATGCGATGAGAAAGTTTTGCAACAGCAAAGCACTGAGCTCATCGAAATCAGAAGCAGCGAATTATAGAACAAGCTGTCATTAATAACTCTGATATTTCAATTCAAGCAGTGCTTTATCATCAAAATCCTGAGAAATCAAACATAACTGTGGCTTAAATAACATACTAAGCTGCTTAATATTGACAAGAGTTAACATAATGTCTTTGCAGCGCAGTCATATGATTTCATTGTGAAAAATATCTCGTCATATATAACAATTTACGTATGTTATAATCTGATTAAAATCTTCAGACAGACTTTATGATCTGCAGGGTCGCTACACCTGTGCTTTGTTTTGTCTCTGAATTGTGAACACTAGCCTCGAGACCCTGCTCAGAAAAAGAGCTGGGCAAAGCAAGAGAAGGAGTATTGATAAGCGTATGGTTGAGATCTTATGTAAGACGCAGTTACTAGCACAGCAGGAGGACAAATTCCCTTCAGCACAAACAGATACTAAATATTCCAATGCCAGTGGGTGAAATGGGGTGAGATGGAAAACATAAAGATGGAAACAGATATATATACTTATTACTCATTTATGGCTTAAGCTCAGCCACATGTACAGTATGAAAGTACAGACATTCTTCAGAAAATACTGTGGAATATCTTGGTCTTTTCAACAACACTCTAAGAAACTAGATGTTTGAAGTGCTAAATGGAATTCCAGTGTGTTCCTATGCGGTTGCCATTCAGAGAGATTTTTATTGCCGTTATAGGGTGTTCTGGGTGGCTGCTGGTGGTTTACTGGCCAGAGTTAAAAGAGTGCACCCCAAAATCTCTATAATATTCTGGTCAATAGATATGGCATACTGTAAGTTCCTACTTCAAATACAGGATTTTTACAGCACACTCTATCTTATATTTTGGTGAATTGGTGGCTAACTTGTATTAATTCAAATGGGTTTGTTTGTACATGTTTGTACAGTCTGCTTACACCCCACCAACCCAATCTCACAGGAAAATGTAATTATTTTACAAGGTGGTGATTTCATATGAATGAATTATGTAAATTGTATGAAGACGTACGATTTCTAGAAAAAATGTAAGCATGAAGGTCCACCCCTGACTCCACCTAACATTACATTACTGTCACTGGAGTTCAAGCAGATGGTACGAAAATGTACAAATGAGATCATACAAATTCGCCACTAATTGGCCAAAACATCATGGATTACCAGGTTAGGTTTAGTGGGGTCAAGAGTGGATCTTAATGTTTCGGGGGGTTTTTTTCCCCCTTAAATTTATAAATGTTCGTACAAATCACATCATACAAATTCTAAATCATGTCAAGTCATACTAAATCATGACCTCTTAAAATAGTTTGTGTTTGACTTTTATTGTCTACAAGGTGGAAATTGTAAGTCTGAGCACACCTAAGTTAGTGTGATGCCATAACCCATGTTATGCTTCTTGTTCTATTTATGTTATTAACTGCATCTGTCTATGTTTTTGAGCCAGAAGAAAAAGAGGGAAACCTGTAAATATTTAAAAGGGTCCTATTATGCTTTTCCACTTTAGTTAGTCTGTAATGATGTTGTTTGAGCATAAAAAAGATCTGCAAAGTTACAAAGCTCAAAGTCCAATTCAAAAGGAGATATTTTATTTAACAGAAATCACTTTTCAAAAACTACAACGAACGACTCGCTTGGACTACAACGCATATTTTCTGGGATTTGTGATATCACAAATATCGACGAATGGGACGAGACCTGGTTGAGCTGCACTAGATAAGGCAACAAGTGCTATTACCACTATGTCGGAGACACGCTAGCTTTCCCAAGGCAGACAAACTTAGAGTGGTTACAATCATCCGGGTTTAAATCGCGCTCAAATTGATTTGATTTTGACGCAATATTTACACTGAAGCTCGCAGGCGGCTATGATAAGGGGCATGACATTTCCCGACCACACGCCGAGTGCTGCCAATCACAACACACACTGGCCCAGCTAACCAATCACAGCACATTTCGTATTTCAGAAGGCGGCCTTCATTTGATACAGGAACTATTCGAGCCGTTCATGCCAGACTGGGGAGAGAGGTGTTGTAATAATGTAAAATATGTGAAACATAATGTGTTTTTTGAACAACCTAGTATGAGAGCCTGTTCTAGTACACCCCCAAAACAAAATCAAGACTTTGTAAAAGAGCACAATAGGACCCCTTTAATGTTCTGTTATAATGGGATTTAGAACAGCTTTTATATTGGTATTTTGGGGGTTTACATAATGCTGATCAGTGGAGATTTTGCTGATGTTGAGCATTGCTACATACAGTCCTGTATTTAATATGATATTACTGCTCAAATGCGAGCATAGTGATCTACTTTTTCTTGTACTTCCTGCCAAAATCATGTTATATATAATAATAAAATAGTATATTTAGCATGCTAGTAGTAAACTGAAAGAGCTTCAGCATGTCTCAGTTTTCCGTTACAGTTTCCACTACACAAAAGATCTGAGTTGAGTTTACATGGCAATTTCATGGATTCAGGAAGCAACTGAAATAAAGAGATAATTGAACCAAAAAGTTAAAATTCTGTCATTTCCTCACTGTCATATCTGTCAGGATTCTGGACTGTTCTGTGTCGTGTTTTGCCCGTTTCTGGTCCTTTGTTTCCTCGTGACTCCAGCGTGTTCCTTCAACAGCGTAGCATGACAATATCGTTCCAAATCTGTATGACTTTTCTTTTTCTGAGGAACACAAGCAGATCAGACCCAACTGATATTGCATGGACACATTATATTGTATTAAAGAAAGAAAGTGAAACAGGTTTGAGAAGACTGTGAGGTTGAGGAAGTGATGACAGAATTGTCATTTTTGGGTGAACTAAGATTCGGATGTTATAAGGGCTTTTTCCAGACATGTACTCAATATTCTCTTTTTCTTCTATTCAGGTTGTGGCACAAATTGACAAGTTAACATCAGATATCGACCTCGACTCAGACGATGACCTGACACTAGTGTGTTGCAGCGAGGACCGTGGTGACCTCTTGCACAATGAGACATTATCTGACAACCACTTACTACACAACCCTCTGCTAGACACGGTCCGCAACCCAAACACAGCCAAGAAACAAGAATTGGAGCTCTACCGCAGGAGCTGTGGAGACTTGCCTGCCCTCAATGGACCATTAAAGGCCTCAAAAAGCCCTAAAGCCTCCTGGCTCTTTGGATCTGGAGGACAGCTCCATTACTATGACAAGACGCTATATCACGCGTTGTGCTGTGACGATGATGATTACGACGAAGATAGAGGTGGTATGAGATCATTAAGGCTGTCGTCCACCGATTCTGTGTTTTCGTCTTCACCTCCGAGGTTTCTGACGCCCAGATGTAATCGTAAGACTTACTCCAGCCCGGACTCGAAGAAAAGAGCTCTCCGTAGCTGCAGTACGCAAACTGTTTCCGATAAAAGCACACAAACTCACTTCCCATACATTCCAGCCAAGCAAAGAGCTTCAAGTGACTACAAGAACTGAAACTTTCTGCAAGCGCCCCTAAATGAAACATCTGTCATTAATTTTTCACCCTCATGCTGCTCTGAAACCATATGACTTTCCTTCTTCTGTGGAATGCAGAAGTTGATTTTTTTTCTGCTATAATAGAAGTGAAGCTGCAAAATGACAAAAACAATAACAACAACATAAAAGTAGTCCATATGACTCATCCACTCTTCTGAATGTACACTACTGGTCAAAAGTTTGGAATAATTAAAGGCAGGGTGGGTGATTTGGTTCAAAGCATTTTTTGTTATGCTGGTTGAAAGTCTCTTCACATCCCGATAGCAATGTAGTTGTGCATTTATATCGTATAGGAAGGCATAGGACCATAAAATGTTCATCCAATCATATTGCTCAGTCCCAGGCTGTCCTACCTGCCTGTCAGCGTATGTATTTGCATATCTCCACGCACCCTGTTCACACAGACGTGAAACGTCATCAGCGCGTTCCATTAAGCTACTGCAGACCGAGCGAGGAAGGGTTATTACTGTAACATTATGCTCTTTTTACTGTAATGTTTTCTCTCCGGTGAATGAGACGTGAGGTAATCTGACAACGTTGCATTCAACCCTGTGTATCACAGTTCCCACAAAAATATTAAACAACAAAAATAGCTTTCAGCACTGATGATAATAAGACATATTTCTTGAGCAGTAAATTAGCATATATTATATTGATTTCTGAAGGATCGTGTGACACTGAAGACTGGTGTAATGATGCTGAAAGTTCAGCTTTGATCACAGGAATAAAATACATCTTAAATTATAGTAATATAGAAAGTTATTTTAAATTACAATATTACTGTTTTTACTGTATTTTTCACCATATAAATGCAATTTGTGAGCATAAGAAACCTCTTTCAAAAGCATTAAAAAAAGCATAGTTATTCCAAACTTTTGATTTATAGTGTGTTTGTTTGGTTTGAGAGCCAAATATGAGTTATTCACCAAAAATCTTAGCACTGGCAGTCCTTGATGCATTCATAAAGTAGTGATTTCTGATCTATGAACTCTTCTATAAAGTCATTGTTTTGTTGGGTCTTTTCAGCGAACATGACCGAAACCAGTCTGAATGATTCGTTCTTAAATCAGAGCTAATATTTGAACAATATTTTCATGATGCTTTTGTCCTTTTTGAAGCTTAAATAATGGAAAAGCGTGATCAAAATATCTCCTTTGTGTTAATATCTCCACACGAGGGTGAATAAATGAACAGAATTTTCATTTTGGGGTGAACTAATCGTTTAAATTAGTTTGAAATGTTTTTGAAGTGTGTCATCTGTATTTATGTAATGTTTAGGTCGATACCTAATGATAATGAATTACTGCCATGGAAAAACCTCTGTTCTCATGGAGCTTGCAAAGAACAATTTAAACATCATTTGGATTCATTATGAGGGAATATGCCAATATCAAAACAATCATGCATCTCGGCAGAACATTAACACCAGTCCAAAGCCCCCTAAAGAGTGAGAATTGGTTTCAGTCACACCCACACTACGCAGTAAATAGACAGAGTTAAATTAAGCGAGTGGTACACTTCCCCAAAGAATGTGCTTTATATTAAGCTGATTTTTCTGAAAACAAAACCCCCCAAGTAAATTATGAATAAAATGATGAATACAAGTTTCTGGCAGATGCTTCATTCTGAACCATCTTCCTCTCACCAGGTCATTAATTAAACTGCTTTTCCTGTGATGTATGCACAGATTTGTCATAGTAACCATGAGTATGACAATACTGCTGCATTAGCCATTGTCACTAAAACAGAAATAAACAAAACGACAGAAAAGCTTCATACAGTGTTTAAAGAAGATCCATTTATTAGTGGTGGTTGCTAAAGCTCATATTTGCATATAAGGCTCGTATAGGATCATTACTGCCATAATTAGGGTTAATGATTTGAAGAATCCTCTAACTGTGTTACATTTAGCTGTGCAGCTCATACTGCAAGGTTTGTAATACAAACTTGATGCCTCAAATAGTGTGCTATTACTTTTCTAAGCGATCAGATTCTTGCACTGTAGACAGTAAAAATACGTTCTAAAAACACTGGGTTAAAAACAACCCAATTTGGGTTGTTATTAACCCAAGGGCTGGGTAAATATAAGACAGAACCCATCTTGGGTTAAATTTACCCAGCAAATTGGGTTGATTTAACCCAGCTAACGGGTTTATTCATTTTTACAATATTACTAGTTAATTTTTTACTTCATACATTAAATCATGTTTACAGATTAACTTAAATCCTCTAAACTTTTCTAAAATACTCCACACAAAACCACTGGTTTGCATGATAACTTCCTTTATTTTCCTTTATTTATCATTTACAGCATTGTTTATATCGTTTTTAATAGGCTATACATATTGCCTATATTTAAACTCGTTTAACAAACATTAGAAGAAAAATTCAACATTAAACAGAAGTAATTCAGTTTGTGATCGACCAGTCTCTGTTATTCTGTTTCCACCGTAACGGCGCTGGTTCTCGTGCCCGAGCTGGAGTCGTGTTCGGCGGGGAACTGCTAACGGACCGCCGCCCTGCGTTTCACTCTAGACGAAACATGCTGTGACTCCATAACCTGCCAATAAACAAACAATAAACAGCTCTGAGGACATGTTTTAACATCCAAAGTATTATATTCGGTATCTTTATGAATAAAATCGTTTATAATCGTTTTATGCAAAGCATCAGGCTTTTCCATCACGCGAAAAGACCCGTTCATCACACTAAAAGATCACACACGTTAAAGGTGATTCACACCGCGCGCCTGTATGTTGCTCTGCATAAAATTGAACGATATACAGTAACTATTTTATAGATAAAATAAAATGTACACAAACCTGTATTTTACCGAAGAATGCATCAATTCGATGGCGCTTAGAACTACTCTATCGTGAAGAGAAGACGCAAAATCCCCGCGATAAATAACTCAACCGCTGGGTTAGCCTACATCTGACCCAGGATCTGAGTAACACACAAACTACCCAAACATTGAGTTGTTATGTCTGACACAGGAGCGGAGTAACACAAAAACTAACCCAAACACTGAAAAAATAACCCAGGATTTTTTAGAGTGTACTAAAATATCTGTAGACTTCTTTTATCTAGTCATCAGAATAAATAAAACAAACAAACAAACAAAAAAAAATTGGAGGTGAGCTCTTTTGATTTGAGCCAGTAAGAAACCACTTAAAAACTGCATAACAACATGCTACAGCCCTCTCAGAACATTGAACAACCAAATAACAACGTCCAGGCAACCACCACTCACATTTTCTCTACAAAATGTATAAATCGGATTATTTTTTAACAGCTATAAATAACCCCTTTTGTGTTCTGCTGAAGAAAGAAATAACATTTTCAAAAGATACGGCTAAATAAATGACAACAGCATTTTCATTTTTGAGCGTACCGTCCCTTTAAGCCTTATTTTATAAGGATAAAATGCCCAGCGATGTCTGTAATCATAGTGTCGACAATACAGCGGACCAGCCAGAGGAAATTAATTAAGAGACAAGATTCACTGTCCATAGTGTCAAACACATTAGCCGTGCAATATCTGAACTTTGACATTGCGGGCTCATTCCTTCAAAAGACCTCACAAGGCCGTGATCTGAGTTCATCTGTCAGTGTGAGTGAAGTAATTTAATTGGAGTCTAAATCATAAAGCTTTACCTCAGGCTCATTTCAACTGGAGATGGCTGTTATGCAATCATCTATAATAAAAAGCCAATCACTGAAACTGCCTTCAAGGGACACTGTGCAGATCTTTTTATGGAATACCTTTTAATCCTCTATACAAGTAGAGACCAATTATCTTCAACACAAGGTTGAAGATTAGAGTCTTACAGGAATAGAAAATTGAAATTTAAAAAAAATGAAAATTGCCATTTACCACTGTTAAAAACATAAAAAAGTTATATTATTTTTATTCATGTGGTAACATTGAAATGATCTGGAATTAATATTATTTTATTAATAATAATGTTGTTTTTTATAAATTTTTATTAATCTTATTTAATCAACCTGACTACATTTCTTTACACTGCAATTTTAGTATCTAGAGTCTGTTTTAGTATTAGTATTAATCGTTTTTGTTAATATTTTAGATTTGATTTTGTATTATTTTTAGTTTTTTATTTTTATTTTTTTGTTACATGTTTTTATTTTATTTTATTAAATATTTTAGATTCATTTTTTATCAAAATAGTCATATATATTATATATATGTATAGATACATACGTACATAATGTTAAGTAATGCAATATTTTCTATGGTTTTAGTTTTAGTTAATGACAAGACCTCTAGTTTCCACCGTTCAAAGTAATTTTTAAGGGTCAGATCAGACAGAAATAGCAACTGTTGTTTCACAATTTTGCATACTGCTTACGGAGTCTTCTCTTTTAAACCAAAATACATTATAACCAGCCTCCTGTTCATGCTGCTTTTGTCAGATTTCCTTCCACTAGGGGATCCTTTCTACTGATACTGGATTATTGCAGTTGCTGTTAAAATGGTTGCACTCAATAGTGATTATATTCGGTAGACTGTGGAAGTTGCTTCCATGGCAAGGTCTTCCAACAAGATGCAGGGCCTGCCTGCAATGTGGCACTGTTTTGAAACGGTTTGAGCTGAGACTTGCTCTGTGAGAGTCAGTCCTGTGACAGAACATGGAGCTCTACTAGACAGTTGTTTCAGACTACATGCTGACATGGTGTAAACATCTTTACGCTTATACTGACCTTGCTGAGCTCAGTAGTTTAAATGGGAAAAAATCATAGAGAATATTTGATTAAGTTAAAATTAGGCTTTGTAATAAAGTCAGCATGAAATTAAAATTCATCTATTTTCAAAATGCATGTTGTTGATCTTTCAAATGTATTCATCCATATTTTTCACTTTTCTTGATCTTATTTTTCACTTTTTCTTGACACCACTTTTTTTGAAAAAAAGTCGGAATTGTGAGATTTAAATTTGCAATTGTGAAAAAAAGTTGGAATTGTGAGATATAAATTTGCAA